TCCTCCGTGCCCCACTTGAAAGTATGTCTTGAATACCATGCAATAGCCATGATTAACAGTTAATTGTACTGTAGGCTATACAGTTATACATACATTTAAAAAAACTCATTTCTCATGCATTAATTTATGCTGAAATTGAAACAATCACATTTCTTTCTTTCTTTTTCTTCTTCTTCCTTCTTTCTTTTTTTTTCTTTTTTTTTGAATCTCAGGGGGGATATTTGTACAGGCCATCCCCCCTCCTTCAAGAGCGGGGGGGGATGCATCCCCCCATCCCCCCCTCCCGGGATTTACGCCCCTGCCTACATTCTTCGCAAGCGTACTTGAACAGACATTGTGGGATACTTTCATTTATGACGCTGTTCAAATACGAGTTGTACCGCACTCATGCCCGCAGTTACTCAATCACTCATGCACGCACGCATGCACTAGCTGGGACGTGAAAGGAGAACCAGAATAAGCAGAAGAAATGCAAGGCAATAGAATAAACACCAACAGTCGCAGTAACAAAAAAATAACAGCAGCAGCAGCAGCAGCAGCAGAAGCAGAAGCAGAAGCAGCAACAACTACAACAACAACAACAACCGTACAGCAGCAGCGGCAGCAGCAGCAGCAGCAGCAGCAGCAGCAGCAAAAGCAGCCGCCGCCGCCGCCGCAGCAGCAGTAGAAGCAGAAGCAGCAGCAGCAGCAGCAGCCGCCGCCGCCGCAGCAGCAGAGGCAGCAGCAGCAGCAGCAGCAGCAGCAGCAGCAGCAGCAGCAGCAATACCTGCGCATTACCTGCGCCGTGACAGTCTTATTTATGCGTCACTGCCGCGAGCAGTGCGCACACGGCGAATGCGCGCCGAACTTCGTATATATTCCCCCTCGTTGCCGTTACTATGCCAACACAAAGCTGCTGGAGGATTGTGCGCACAGTGCACTAGCCGTCGCATCGCACCGCCATGGCGATGATGCCGCACTGACAGTCGTCACTATCCGTCAGCCGACGACCATCCGTGAGCTTTTACCAGCGTCTGTGTCAGTGACAACTGCTCGTGGCTGCAGCGAGCGTGGCGCCATCTTGTGGCCCGTCGACGGAGCCGTGATTGTTATGTGGATATTTTCTCTGCCGACGCTCGGTGTGAGTTGGAACATCACCTGTGATATATACAACAGCTCCTGCGTCGTGATTAGGTCTGCTTTACTGGTATATTCATCGTCATCATCGTCACTGTCATAAGCCTAACTCTAACCCTTAAACCGCTTTCTGAACGCTAACCGCGTGACTTTACCCTTAACCAAAACCTTAAGAGTCCTTAAGTTAACCCTAACGGTTATCCTAACCCTAAATCTGATCATAACACAGTTCTACCCTAATATACACTAATATCATCCTAACCTGCTATCATCATGGACTAGACTAGAGGGTGTCCTAGGGGGTCACTATACTAGTGGGGTGCGCGGACCTAACGGTCTATACTAGTAGAGGGTGTTTTAACGTAGAGCTGTACAGCTACGTCGCAGCACCGATTCCATCCGGCAGAAGGTAAGCGGAAATAGACGATCATAGACGGAACTACTAGGGCTACTATTACGCATGCGCACGAGTGGCCGAGTCTTGCCGACAGCGGCGCAAGCCGTCAGCGACGTCGGCTGCACGTAGTACGATGAACGTCGGCACCCGCGTCGCTGCGTCACACGACACAGCCTCGCTATATAACCGCTGTATGTAATAGATACCCGTGATCAATCTCAGCTGCTGCTGACGTTGCATGCGGGCAGGCCAGCCCGTAGATGAGCTGTTTCGTATATGGACCGAAGATTGACCGCCGAAGAACAGGAAAAAATCGGAGCGACCGAGAGACGCGACGGCAGCGGCTAACGTGACGACGGCGATGGACGCCGATGCGTCGGCGGACGTCATTAGCGACGCGATGCGCGTCGGCGTGCTGTCGGCGCTCGGCGTGCTCTTCGTCGCCTCGCTCGTCGGCAACGTGCTGCTGCTCATCACGATAGCTGTATCCTACAGCCTACGCACACCGCCCAACGCGCACCTTACCAACATCTGCGTCAACAGCCTCGTCGTCTGCGCGGCGACGTTGCTGTCGATGGCAACGATGGCGACAACGTCGCCGACAGCCGCCGAGCGCGTCGACTACGTGCGCGTGTACCTGTGCATTAACTCGGCGATGCAGTACTGGTTCAGCTTCGCCATCATCGCCATGTATCGCTACAAGATCATCAAGTTGCCGTCGATGCGCGTCGACGAGCGGCGCGCGCTCGTGCGTCGCTCGATCGCCATCGCCTGGCTGTCGTCGCTGCTGCTCAGCCTCGGCGTCGTGCTCTGCCAGCGAGGCGACGCGCTCTTTCTTGTCTGGTGCTCGTTCGACCGCCGCGCGAGCTGCCACCAGGTGGCGTCGCCGTCGCGTGGCTGCACGTCCGTCATCGGGTACTTGGTGGGGTTCATCTTTACGATGACGGTGCTAGTGATGCTCTTCTCCTTCCGCAAGGTCTACCAGACGCTCAACAAGTCGGCAAACAAAAACCGCGTGCGGCCGATAGGTGGCGTGCCCACGCTGAGCTCGCGCGTGGAGCACCTCGACAGCGCGCCGCCGCAGGAGCAAAGCGACCTCATGGTGATGAAGGATGATTTAGGCCGACGTCGGCAGTACTACCTCATCCGTAACGGCGGCTGGACGCAGCCGAACGGCACCGCCGCTAGCGCCGCCAGCGTTCAGCCGACGTACTACAACGCGCAGCGCAAGCGCTGCTCTTCCGTCGGCAGCCTACCGGCCGACGCAAGCGCGCTGATGCCGACGACGGGCGTCGGCGTGCCGGACGGCGCTTGCTACCTGCCGTCGTTCAGCGACATCTCTCCGAGCGCCGCCACGCGGCAGCAGCGCTTCGTGCGGGCGCGCTTCGCCGTGCGTCGGCACGAACAGACGCTGTACAGTGCTACGAAGAA